ATATACATACATATATATGTATGTATATTATTCAGGTTTTAAAAAGTACATCATTGGCCGACTGTATTCCATGTTATACTATTATTATCATCAACTGAGCAAAACAGAACTGATTGAAAGCCACACACACACACACACACACACACACACACACACACACACTTGATTGTCATTCATAAATAAATTAAACATAGATAAATAATAAATTGAACACGGTTCCAAACTGACCAGAATATCAGAGCTAAGGTGGAGGAGGAGATGTTAGAGAGGAGGGAGGAGAAGGTCAGTTTCCTCCCGTGCCCCCACCCCTACTATCTGTCCCCCCCCTCTGCTGTAGGCGTGGGACAATACGAAAAAGTGATGTCAGTAAAAAAAACAATGTTTAAATGATGGTGGTTGTTAGATTTTTTTCCATTGGCTTCAAAGGTTCAACTTCACCAACGTGAATTGTTTATTTTATAAATCACTGAAACTGTAACGTGGCGGTGGACGGCGACATGAAGTCATTGTGGAGAGATGAAAATAATTTCCATTTTCCAAGTAGCCGACCTGACATGAAGGGTCCGAGGCATCGACGTTGAATATTGTCCCACCCTGCTCCTCCTCCTCCTCCTCCCCCTCCTCCTCCTCCTCTTCCTCTCTTTCATCCCTCTCTTCTTGAGCAGTGCCATGTGACTTTGTAGGTGTGGCCACGTTATCCGTGATGATCGGCCCCCTTGTCATTTATGCTTGTTTCCCTCTCTCTGCCATCCCTCATTCCAGCATGCTATCGCTTTTTGTTTGAAGGAGTCGGGGAATAAACCACCAGTGGTAACGTATAACACCACGCTCTTTGTCTCACCTACATCCTTCCACGTTATGATGAACAAAGGGACCAAATGACCAGTCAGGATACAAACCATAACTGTAACCCTAGTCCCAAAAATGATGAAATGCAAGTTTGTGAGCCAAAACCAGTTTACCCAGGTGGATGATCGTTGCCAGAAATTATCGTATCTGAAGAACTTAAAGATGATCCAAAAAGTAGCATATTATACTAATTATTTCCTGAAAAAGTCGTGAAAAATAAAATGCTCCCCAGAACCAATAAAAATTCACTAATTTGCCTTAAAGCATGCAGGTTTAGACTTTTTATTGCTTAAAATTCAGAAAAAATTGGATGTTTGACCTTTGATCAACAGTAATATACTGTACTTATAGTTCTGTTAGGAAACTGGACGTGAATAATCACTTGGCAGCATGTTTTAG